GGGGGGGCTGCGCTTGCTCCTTCCTCCTCCCTCCTTCCCTTCTTCCCTCTTTCCATTCATCTTTCCTACTTCCCTCCTTTCTTTTCTTCCTTTTATTTTTCCAGTCTCTGGCCCTGGCTCTGTTCTTACCTGCAGGAGGTACAGCCCCTGTGCCCTGTGCCCTGTCCCCAGGGCCCCTGCACTCTGAAGCAGAGAGACAGATGCTCCACAAATAAACGAACTCCTCCCCTCAAAAGCAGAGTGGGAGGGCGGAATGAGATGATGTATAATGTGCCCAGCTCAGTTCCAGGCACACAAGAGCCACTGACACACCTGCACCACTCCCTCCCTCTCCTCCCTCCTGCCCTGCATCCCCGCAGCACCCACTCCTCAGTGGGCAGCCCTGGAATTGAAACCCTGACAAACTCTGGAGAGCAGGAACCCTCTTCCTTCAGTCATTCATTTTCCTTGGTACATAGTCAGTGCTTAATAAATATTTTCAATACATGAATAAACAAGGGCCAAACTCTGAGCCCAAAATTGGGGAAAACAGGACCTGTGGCAAATCAGATGTGGCACAGCCTCGCCACCAGGATGAGACTCAGATGGACGGGTGGACATGTATGGCCTCAGCAGGGGCCCGTTAGGTACAGGGTGGCCCCAGACACACACTGTCCATGATTTCCCCAGAGGGAAGATTTTATTCAAAGTTTTATTTGTTTTGTTTGCCAATTTGATCATGCAAACTTTTAGGAATATAGAAGTATATACTATATGAAAATGAGATATTAATTCAGAAGCATTATATTTTTCCCATTTTCCCATTTCATAAAACATCAGAACAGATCAGTATGGTGGTGCATTTCTGACTCCAACTCATCAACCACTCTGGGGTCTATTGGAGGCTGAGAGGCCTCTGCGGTCAGGGGCTTTGTAAGGGCTGGCAGTTATGACCTAAGGTGGCAGCTCTTTCCTAAGAATGAATTTTTGGGGGAAAGCTATGCCTTACATTTAACCAGATAATTTGTCTTTGATGTGCTGGAGCTGGCTCATAAGAGCCAACTGTCACATTCCTAGGAATTTGGCGAGCTAGTTGTTATACACAGCCCTTGCCAGTGGCTCTATACTGGGGGTGAATTTGGCCCCCGGGGACATTTGGCAACCATGGAGGCATTCTGGGTTGTCACAACTTGGGGGTGGGATTCGAAAGGGCCACTGGCATCTTGTAGAGACCAGGGACGTTGCCTGCACAATGCACAGGTTAGCTCCCTTCCCACCCCCAACAAAGGATGTCCAGTTCAAATATTAATAGTGCTGATGGTGAGAAATCCTGATCTAAACTTGTAATTACATAAATTATATTAAAAACAAAGGGAATACATACTCAAAATTTATTACTAATTATTTTACTAAATTTTATTATGATGACCTTGATCTGATATGATGATCTATTTCTGTCTACTAATCTATATGGTGGGAATGCTATATGATGGTGTCCTAACATGTACCTCTTCCCAACTCCATGTTTAATGACCTCATGTTAGTACTATGAAATCTCTAGAGTGAGGATGTACACCACAGAAATTGGCAAATACCACAACCCCCAGTCCCTTTTTTTCTGAAAGGCCAATTGTTACCAGTACACCATCGGATGTAATAAGTAGAGAAGAGAAATTCACAAGCCTGGGGGATGCTTCTAAGGTCCAGCCCAGGCAGACAGCTCAGCACCCGCCTGCCACATGCTGTGTGGAACAAGGATCTGAGCATGGCCACATGTACAGATGCATCTCATCCACACACCATGCCCACCCCACACCTACAGCCACAGGCACAGGCACCCCTCACATGCCCACAGACACACACCCGTCACACATATACACAACACACCGCATATCACACACACGACACCACAAACACACCGTATACACTTGCCACACACACCTACACCACACACATGGCATATACACTTCACACCTCACACTACATGTGCACCATACACAGGCACTTAGACATACAAATACATACCACACACAGACACCACACACACAGATACTAAGCACACCCCACATACACCTCACGTACAACCCCACACACCTACACTATGCATAACCACAGAAACACACAAGCCCACATGCACTCCCACAGCAGCCCTCTAGCCAGCAGAGCTAACTCAAATAAAGAGAAAATAAAAGAATGCCAGTCTGCCTGACCGCATTCTTGGATGTCTGAGCAACTTTACCTGTACTACCTCCTCCTCTGTGGCCCACCCTTCCCCATACACCCCCACACCCAGCCTGCTGAGGTGAAGGTCTCAGCATCCCCCCAGGAGCACCATCCAGTGGCCCATCTCAGTGCCCAGTTCTCTTGGCCCCTGGAGCCCTAGCTGAGGGGTCCCTCATCCTGCTCTGTGCCCAGTTCTCCAGAGGTTCTGGAGCTGAGCCCACCAACTGTGGCCTCGAGGGCCTGGCCTCTGCCCCTTCGCAGAGCCCAGGACAAGCAGCTCCCTGAGTGACTCCACTCACCCAGCCACTTCAGCTGCCACCAGATGCTCGTAAGTCCACATCTCCATTTCCAGCCAGACCCTCTCTGACCCCATGCCCACCAGCCTTGGGACATCTCTACTCAGATGTCCCCTGACTTCTCAGGCAAGTCCCCGGAACAGACTTCCTGTGTGCCCACACCTGTTCCTACCCTATACTCTCTGCCCCTGCACATCCTAGCAGTCAACACAGGAAGCGCTCGATGCACATCTCAATTATGTAAATCTTATAAAGGGAGGAGATAAACAAGCTTCCTTATGAGGCAGATAGGAAGTCTTACCCCATTTTACAGATGACAGCCCTGCGTCTTTGCGAAGTTAAGGGACGGGCCCAGCAGCAGCAGCCCAGGCAGGCGGCTGTGTGGGATGGAGGGAGGCCCTGGAAGAGCCAGAGCAGGAGCTGCAGCAGCAGCAGCCAGGCCAGGGCAGGCCCTGCAGGAGGCTCTCCCCAGCCCCAAGTGAGGAGGTTAGTTACAAAGAAAAGGAAAAGGCGTTTCTGATACGCGTCCTGTTTCCTCTCCTCCTCTGGGCTTCTCGGAGGGCGGATGCCTTTGGGCTGGCAGCACTCAGCCTGCGCCTGGACCCGCCGAGGGTGAGGGTCTCGGGGCCCTTTCTTCCCCAGCAGCCTGGCCGGCTCGGAGACGGGCTCCCTGGGGTGAGTGCGTGAGTCTCCCTTCCCAGCCTGGGAGAGCTTCCACCCTTTAGCCCCAGTGGACACGCGGCAGAGCTAGGTAACTCCTGTCCATCAGGCTGTCCCATAAAGGTACCTCCACTGAGAATCTCCCATGTCACCCTTACGTGCTATCAGGGCTCCTCTGCAACCCCTCTCCTTCTCTTCCTCCCTGTCCCCCAGCAGGCAAGCGCACTACTCTGCCCAGCTTTCTGTGGCTATACCTATAGGCCTGGGCTCCCCAAGAACCAGGTGGAGGAGGGAGGGAGGCAGGAAGAAGGCAAAAGCAGAAGCCATCAAACGGGGCTTCTGAGTGAAAGTTGACAAGATGAGTGTCCCCCATCAGAGGGGGCCTTCCTGAGGAAAGAGATCAGATCTCCTCTATCAGATAAGGATTTCCCGGGGGGAGGTGGCCATGACTCCTCCATCAGATAGGAGGCTTCTGAGGATAAAGGTCATACCTCCTTCCTCAGACAAGGAGCTGCTAGAGGACAAGAGGACCACGTCCCGTCCATTACATAGGAAGTCCCAGGGAACAGGAGCCACGTTGCCTCCACCAGACAGGATTCTCTCTCCTGGAAAACAAGGCCATGCTTCCTCCATCAGACTAGGGACTCCCAGAGGGACAATCCCCCACAACAGTTCCCAGAACAGACTGCTGCTCAGTCTAAGGCACAGAGAAGGACTTCCCCTTGGGGCAGAATCAGGGGAAACTTGCCTGCATCATCCCTTGCACAAGGTCCCATGCCAACTTCCCAGCCACGCCCTCAATTAAACTGAAGCTTCCTTGCCATCCTTAAGACAGTCATGCATCTGAGCAGAGGCCAGTGGCTGGCCAGGGCCATCAACTTCTTGAGAGAGAGTAAGGTGGCCACCAGGAGATCCCTGACCAGAGGATGCCCAGGAAAGGCTGTGCACCTAGTTCTAGCCTGGATGTGTCCAAATATGGGGACTGTACGGATCTCTGCTCCTGGTTCTGCCACTAATTGGGCAAAACTCTTCCCCTGTGGCCACTAATCCCCCACTCCCCAACCTCCTATCTCTGTCAACACCCACTCCAGACTGAAGTGGCAGGAGAAGTCAGGGGCAGGAAAAGCAAGGCCCTACCCAGGTCCCACCTTGAGGACATCACTGGCCTTCCCCAGGGGGGTGGTCCCTGAGCCTAGTCTAAGTTGTCTCCATAATCATCTTCCCTACTCGTGTGCTAGCTCCAGGGAGCTGCTATTAGTTAGCATCGATCCACAAAGTGCTTTGCCTACACATTTCATGAGCGCAGCCTCGGGGGGCTGGGAGCAAGAGGTGGAAATGAGCAAACCCAAGTCACTGGGCAGAGCAATAGAGCAGCTGAGCCCCAAGACTGAGGCCCAGGGCCAGCACTCTGTAAATATTAGCTGAATTCAAGTTTGTTGAAAAGCACCCTGACTGGATTTGGTAACTTAGTCTGGGTATATTTTCTGATTAAGAAATAATAATTCTTATTATTATAACTGATGTTTATGAAGTGTTTAATACAAGCAGGATACTATCTTAAACATTATATTAATTCATTTAATCCTTGCAAGAACACTATAAGGTAGATACTCTTATTATCCTTACTTTACATATGAAGAAACCTTAGACACGGATAGGTTAAGTAACTTGCCCAAAGTCACAGAACAGAAAATAAGAAATGTACCATCTGCTTGATAAATTAAGAAGTAAAAATACAATAATGCTTCTGAATTTTAAAAGAATTAGATACTTTTAAAAGATGCAATGCATCCTAAGTGTGTTTCAAACTAAATACATTCATTATAGGACATGCTGTGGTACAGTTTAAGATGTAAAAGTTTCCCTAAAAGGGTAGCATTACAATGTAAAACGTGTTCATCAGTCATCTCAAAATCATAGTTATTCTTCTTCTGAAACTTAACTGAGTAGTTTTATTAAAATTATAAAACAAAAATCAATTATTTTAAGATGTATCATTTATTTGTCATAGGCTAGGTACTTTATGTCATGTTTAATACGGAGGAACAACACACGGAAAAAGGCCTCATTCCCTCAAGGGAGGCATTACTGTGCCTCTAGGCTAACATTGCCAATCTTGGACACTTCCTTGGTGTTTCCACCCCCAGGATGGGAGCTGCTCCAGGGCAGGGACTGTGCTTGGCACAGAGAAGGTACATGATAAAGGAGTTAAGGGCTGGGGGTTGGGCAGGCCTGTTGCTTCATCAGCTTGCATTTAGGCTATCTGGGGTGCTAAATGAGGTACTGGCACTTAGTTAGAGCTTTGTAAGTGGTGAAAATACTAACCACCACCACCACCACTACCACCACCACAGTAAGCAGACTGGCTGAGTTGCCTTGGGCAGGTCCCTGTCCAGCTTGGCCTTCCCTGGCTCACCGGCTCTCAGTGGAGGTCATGTTACCTCCCAGGGGCCTGGGCAGCTGAAAGGAGATAATGGGTATGAAGAGTTCCTGGGAGGCCAGAGTGCTGGGCAGAGACAAAGGTCTGTTATTAGGACAGGGCTGAATTATCGAGCATTTTTAAGAAATGCATTTCCATTACTTCCAAGAACACACAGGCCTGTAGATGAGGTGGTCACAGTGAAGTCAGCCAAGAGCAGCTGAACGTGAGGCAGCTAGCAGGAGGAGCATCCTGGGGCACCTCTGAACCTCTCTCCAGGCCACACCTGGGACTTAGTAATAAACACCCCCATACCCACACCAAGCCCTTCACCTGCCCCTCACACTGGTCCCCTTTGTTTTTCCTGGGAGGTTGCAAAAAACCCTGCCAGGGGGAGTAGCGCCAGCCTCTTCTTTGCCCACCAACCTGTCTGGAGTGATAACTTCAGAACCAACTCCACCTGCCCCAACTTAGATGCTCATTTTTCCCTGCGCCCCACGGAGGCCACACAAATGGTGATGAATACAGGAAGAGCAATTGGGAACAGGGTCTGGATCTCTATCCTGACACTTAATGGTTCTTCACCTCACCTGTCCTCACCTGGATAATGGGGTAACATAGCCTACCTCCATGGTGTTGAGGGTAATGAACAAGTTGATGTCTGCTTATGCCTGGCAGACATATGTTTCAAAATCACTATCTCCTAGTCCAAGTTTGAATATGGTGGGAATAGTGCACTGAGAGGCACCAAAAGTGAAAGGGTGCCCAAGGCTATTCAGGGCCCCGCCTTCATGTGGCTTAAGGTCTAGTGGAGGAAAAGATTTAAGTAATCACATGCAAGAACACATAGCCAGGGGGCAGAGGAGCCTTTGACCACCATGCTCTATCTCCCAACATTTATTTGGCACTCTCTATGTATTTAGTGGGCCATAGGCACTGGGACACAGGCCTCCTGGGAGTGCTTAGAGTGTGATGGATGAGATTATGAAATAGGCTCCTTAAGGCCTGGACAGCCCCTCCCTCAACACTTGGCTCAGGATTCACCCTCACCAGGAAACCTCATGACCAACATGCCTCCCTTGATGTCTTCATTATCAGCAAGATGTCCCAGGTCCCAGACACAGTCATGAGTGTTCACGTCATAGAAAACAAAGGGCCCTTGTACCTGGATGACTTGGCCATCAGCTTTGAACTGGGTCTCTTGTGAGTTTGACTGAGTCAGTCAAGGGGGCCTGCTCAATTCTAAAGGTCAAATTGCTATGTGGGGACCTTGCCCAGATCAGACCCTAGGACAGCTTCCCCAATGCCTTCAACATCCTGCCTCTGTCCTGCCACAACTACAGTGACCTTGAGAAGCAGAGGGCTCTCTGGTGAATGCACTGCCCACATATGATGGGTATGACAGATGCACACACCAACTATCCTGCACAAGGCACTGCAAGAGGTAGTTACAAAGAGGGTGACAATAACTCCGGGGGAGAGGCTCAGTTCTTTCCAGATGAACAGGGGCTGGCTGCTGAGGAAGTTACAGAGAGCAGGGGGTATCTGAGCTGGGACTTGAAGGACAGTGAAGAATTGACCAGGTTGTCAGGGTGCAGAAGAGAGAACATTAAAGTGACATGCATATACATGGAATTACACTTCCTCATATAGCAGAGGGTATGTTTCAAAATCACTGTCTCATTTGATTCTCTCAAATCCCATAATGGCGTTATTACTGACTCTGCCCCCTTCATACACACATATAAATAAAAAAGTGAGGTGCAGTAAAGGCAGGTGATGAGCCCAAGGACAAATCTGAGCAGAGAGAGGGGTGGGGATGGACGCTGGCTGAGGTGGCCCTCTCCTCGCAAAGGGCCGTGGGTATTTCTGCCCGGCAGCAATCCCTCACTTCCAGCCCCTGCAATCTATGACACCCTCCTCTTATCCCCAACATACATACACACTCCTGTGGGTCCCAGGGCCTCTTCAGAAGGGGTGGCTGGGAGAGGGACAGAGCAGCATGGCCACAGCCAGGCCCGGGAGGTGGAGAAGGAGCTGACCTTTCTTTAAGGCTTGGCTCAGAGGCCCTGCCCCACCCTCTCCCACTCATCCTGAGCACTGATAACCTAGACCTCTCCCCCTGTAAATCTCTTCTCCTGGCCTCTCCTCTTCCCTTCTCTCAGAGAGGCTGCTGCCAGCCTCTCCCGCTCCTCCCTCCACCCCTTGCCCTCCCCAGGGATCGGTGAGCTCAGC